CATTAAAGTCACCATTTTTAGCCCCTATTATGTCCCGTTGTATGACATCGCCTTCGTGTCTGTGTCCAAGGATTTCCTTCGATGAGAGGGCAGGTATGTTAACTAAGGAGGAAAATTCCAGAAGCATTTTGTTTCATAAAGGGTATATGCTGTTTGCATGATGCAACACTATGTGGAAGAGTGCCAGTTAGCACAGGAAAAAAAAGAAGAAAATTAATTTTTACTCCTGAAAAGGATGATGTGTACTTGTAACAGTCCAGACTTACAATGCTAGAGCATTCCTGTGGGGCTTTGCTATCTCTGTCTCACTGAAGAACGATAATTCTCTAGTTGTTCTGTCAGTCAGATTTGGATTTAATTTGCTAAACTTCCACTGACTTAAGTGAAGACGAGACTTGCATTCACGTGTGGACATAGGCGGCATGCCTATCTGTAAGCTGGAGGGCGTATTGTATAGCCCTTTTTGCCTCTCATGTTTTTGCAGAGAATGAGTGTACCGACAGAATTCTTCCTTGTTATTTTTTTTTAAAGATAAAATTAGTAGACAAGAATAATATTTTCAAACTTCAATCTATTTAGAAAATGTCAGCGGTGCCAGCCACAAAATGTGACTTTGATTCCCAGGCTTTTAATTCCCAGACTGGAAGTAAGTATGCAGTCCCCAGACAGGGAAGCTGGAAGTGTGGGTAGTCCTGGGAATGGAATCTCTTCAAACAGATATTGTTGTTGACTCTTACAAAATAAAGTCTTTTCTGTGTTCAGATTGACTCACAGTTAATGGTCAGCAGTATTACTGAACTGTTTGAAGTTGTGTATGTGTACAAACAGGACTGTGATTTCTTAAAAAAGAGATACGCAGCAGAGGCAGACTCAGGAACTGAATCATCGTTTGGTAACTGAAGCATTGTATAATGCGGAGTGCCAGTGCATTCAGAGCTCTAGGTCATTCTTAGTGAATCTTTACAAGATAAGTGTATCACATTTGCAAGCCATACTTTGCTTTGATACAGGCAGCACTAAAGATAAGGAAGCATATACCCTAATAAGGAGAAACTGCACTGGATTTTTAAAACAGCTCAAGATAGGTTGGAATGTGGTGCTTAATTGAATAACTGCAAAAGAATTGCTTTGTTCTTTTATGTTGTTTTATAATAAATTATTTAAAAATAAATTCTTTCTGTTCAAGGATGATAAGCAGTTATGATAATGATGGCATTACCATAATTTTACCATGCTGCTTCTCCCTGGCCCCCTTCTCCTGCGAGAACAGCACAAGGATGACAGTGGTGACATGTCCTCAAATTGTGCTATCCTCAGTGAAGAGGTTTTTCTGTCTTTTGTTTTAGAACATAAAGTATTAAGCTCTGTAGTGTCAGGACCATTGTGTGATAAAATACCTTAGCTGTGCAACTATGGGCATTGGGTTTACCTTTCTGCTTTGGGGTTTTTTTGTGGTTTTTTTTTTTAAGTTCTGACATATTTCCCACAATTCAGTATGCCTGTGCTGTTGCCATGCATGCATCCATTCTCTTTGTTCTAATCACCGTCCAGTAGAAAATATTTAAGTGGCATTAAAATTTATGATGTTTATGGAGCTCTTATTTATTTTTCCTATCTTGTTCTCTAATTGAAGAAAGGATCTTCTCTCTGTGGATTTTACATATTCAGTAAAATTTGAAATTAATATTGATACTTTTTCCCTGTGTCTCATATTTGATAACCCTTTCAGTGTGCAGAATTAGAGTAAGAAATCTTTTCAGTTTTTCAATGTATAGCTGTCACAAGGGAGTTTTCAGTGGGTGGAATTAGAGTACTGGAATTAGAGCATTGGATAGATGAAGACTGGAATAGATTTTTCTAAAGTGCTCAGTTCTAGTCTTACTGCTTCATTTCACTGGTGGATGAAGTGAATATTAAATAATTAACAAAGCACTTTTTGAGATGCCTCAAAATGAACTGCACAGTATAGCAAGATAAAAAACTCGCTTTCTGAACTGACAAGTGATTTTAGCATTGTTCATTCTGGGCCACTCAGAATAGTAGCGTCTGAAAAGTGCAAGATACGCTTCATGGAAACATGAAATCCTGAAATTGAACATGTGCTCTATTGGAAGTAGTGAAATGAATTCATAGGGCATTTTTTTTTTCAATTTAAATCTCTTAGAAACAAGCTCTAATCAAAGGTTATTTTGTAGGGTTTTGTCATTTTTTTATTGGGGTGTTTTTGGCGTTGCCAGTACTTTTGGAGCATCTCTGGTGACTCATAAAACATGCTTTTTGCAACTCATTTTGTAAGCCTTCCTGCTTAATTAAAAGCTTTTAGGTGCTTTGGAAGTTTGACTTTTATTCTTGGAACTCTAGTCTGCGTCAAAACATGGAGCCATGTGGAGATGCAGGAGAGAGTCAGCAGAGTTCCTTTGATCACAGTCTTGAAAACTTGTATCTTGATCCAAGAAATAGAAAAGACTGAAGATAAAGTGCATTAAAATCATACCAGTGCTGCTCTGAAGAGGGCTCACAGTATGAGGAAATTGATTCTGGAGACAGAAGGATGCTTTTTTTTCCCTCTTGCAGCGTGTAATGTAAGAAGGGTTTAGGATTAGAAGAACAACAGCAGGATCCCAGTTGGGGGAATAGTGATAATTTCATTTTAGGAAGATTGATTTAGATTAACTTCTCAGGTTTAAAATGCTTGCAAGCATTTTGTATATAATTGCTTTCATTCTGAAACTCCAGAATGAGGAGGGCAGTATCCATTAGATTGTTTGCAGAAACAGCTATGAGATGCATAGTGTTTTATAAGCTCGTGTGAATAACAAGTTTCTGTGAGCCATTTGAAGGTATTTTTCTGTTGACTGGCTAATAGTTATTCCAATACCTGATGCATTCATGTAGAAAAACATTTTACTGTTGTCTCCGTGACTGGCTAATAGTTATTCCAATACCTGATGCACTTTACTGTTGTCTCCAACTAGACAGGACAGTTGTATACAATGTCTATAGACCAGTACAGATAAGTGTCCCCATTTTAATGTGATTTTTAAGTGTCAACTTTCTGTTCCTTAAAATTTTCAGAAAAGACTAAGATAGTAACTTTCTTTTGCTTTTGGGTTTTTTGGGGTTTTTTTAAATGGTCTTTCACCACTTCATGCGTGCTTTCTTATGCTGTAATGTGATATGTTTAAAGCTATAGAGCACTTAGATGTTTTTCCATTTGTATCGCTTTATTTGTGAAGTTTTGTCTGGGCAAGCTTTGTAATTTTGTAGATTCGGATTGGTGAATAGCGGTGTTGTACTTTGAGATTACACATTTGTGATACCACATGTAATAGGGCATAGGGTGTACAACTTGGAAACTGGATGGTTAGTGCAGGGAGAAATGAGTAATTGCCCACATCGCATCTAATCTTTGAATAAGCAGCAGTTGTGCTCTCCAGAGCGTAACTCGACATGACACCCAAGCATCAGTTACCCTTATCTTAAAAACATTATGTACTCTGTACGTAACAAAGGTACTGCTCTTATTATTTCTCTCAAAACCTGTATACAATTGCCAGTATTTTTTTTTAATATCTAAGTTTGTCACTGGCTTAGTAAAAAAAAAACCCACCCACCTCTACCCAGCCCCCCAAAACCCATGCTTAGCAAAGATATGTGCATATTTGTTGGCCAGTATGAATCCAAAAATAACAGGTGAAATGTGGACCCAATGTGAAGTGTTGCAAAGACCAAATCCTATTTGAAGTATTGCCTTTACCAGGTAAGGATATTAAAACCACTATATTTATATCCTTGGGAGGAGTGCAGAAGAAAAATAGCAGAGATCTTGGTAGATGAAAGACATTCTCTCTCCTTTTTCTCTGGTTTTTCTTTTTTTTTCAGTCCATAGCAGAAGGTGAGCTGGAGTAGGGGGGATGACACGGTTGGTTTGTTGATTTCTTTGTTTTATAAAACATTCTCAAAGATATTTTTTTAATCTGTTTTTATACATCCATTTTTAAAAGTTTCCGGGACCCAGGAAGACGACGTTTTATGGATAGCAATGGCAGGCACCCATCAGGTGTGGGCACTGATGTTGGAAGGTGGAAGACTACCAAAGGGAAGGTAAGCAGCCGTAACAAGAGTCATGTGAAATTGCTGCTTGTCTTGATAAACAGCTTTCAAACCCCAAAGAGAGAGATAATCAAATTACACAAAAAATATTTTTTCTCAAGCTGTACTTAGCTTGAAGCTTCCTGCCTCTGTTCAGACTTAAAAGGTGTGTGTCCTTTAAAGTCTAGCTGCATTTTCCACGATTGTTAGTTGAAATGAAATACACTACTTTTGCTATAAACCTGTGACTTGGTAGGGTATGTCTGTATAATTGAATGCTACTTTTCATTTCATTTGCTGAATTGTCTAGTGATGATTGATAAACTGAGGTGAAATAAAAGTTAGCACAAAGGCATTGAATGATTCCTTGTGCTGCAGTACAGTTGGTTTTATAACTCACAAGTGCTTCTCCTGTAGCTTCTGTTTATGCATAATGCCTGAAGTATTTCAATCTCATTCTTGAACTTGGGTACTATTTTCCTTTAGTGATTTAAAGAAGGGAGTCTGCCTTCGATTCGCTGGGAGTGGAAATGAAGAGAACAGAAACAATGCATACCCGCATAAGGCAGGCTTTGCACAGCCTTCAGGTCTCTCTCTGGCTTCCGAGGAACCGTGGAACTGCCTTTTTGTAGCAGACAGTGAGAGCAGCACTGTGCGAACCATCTCTCTGAAAGACGGAGCAGTGAAGCACCTTGTAGGAGGAGAGAGAGATCCATTGGTAATCACTTCAAACTTCCCCACACTGCCCTACTAATATTCCTCAAGCCTGACCTGGAGGAACCACTTTTGGGGTGAGAGGGTAAATCAGTTTCCGTGGCCATCAATTTCTTAACTTCACTGCTTGGAATGCAAATGTGTGCCGGTTGTGACGCTCAGGTTGTAGTGCAAATTGTTGGTCCTCAGATAACAAATTACTTCACTTATTTTTAAAATGGCCAACTTGATTCAGCATTGTGTGGTCATTAAAGCCAGATGGATTCATGCTGATAACGTAAATGTGAGAGTTTCCATTTCCATGGTGAGCATCCATACTTCCCAGTTTTCAGTATCCTTGTTTTGAAATTGTCTTTATTTTTTAATTTTTTTAAGCCAGTGAATTTCCATTTAATTACAATCATTTAAATTCATGTCAGCTTTGAAGAATTAAATGTATTAATTTAATAAAATACTTTTTCAGAATTTGTTTGCCTTTGGTGATGTGGATGGAGCGGGCATAAATGCAAAGCTGCAACATCCCTTAGGAGTAACATGGGACAAGAAAAGAAAACTACTCTATGTGGCAGATTCCTATAATCATAAGGTAAGCTTATAGTATCTTGATATATACAGGCTTTGCAATTTTTACTACTACGAAGGGTTATTTTAGGAACATACAGAGATTGTGCTTGGTTTGGTTAAGCTCAGGAAACAAATGATACGAGTTCCTTTGTGGGTTCTTTTTCTTTTCTTCCTGCCTTTACTGGGTCCTTCTCTTTACAATTGTTTTAGTGTCACATGCTGCTGTGTTGATATGGTGGTCCCTTGGGGAAGGGTGAATTTAGAGTGCCAAGTTACAATTCAGACTAAAGACCCTTTCCTTATATCTTCCCAGACATGCTGAACTACAGCAAAAGAGCTAAGAGTGCTTAATCAGGAATACTGCAGGTTTGATAAAACCGGGAGAGCAAGAGGACTTGCTTTTCCCTTAAAAGGGAAAGAAAGAAGAAGAGGAAGAAATTTTTTACAATGAGGGTGGTGAAACACTGGAACAGGTTGCCCAAAGAGGTAGTGGAGGCCCCATCCCTGGAAACATTCAAGGCCAGGTTGGACGGGGCTCTGAGCAATCTGATCTAGTTAGCAGTGTCCCTGCTTACTGCAGGGGGGTTGGACTAGATGACCACTAGTGGTCCCTTCCAACCCTAAACATTCTATGATTCTATGATAAAAAGCCACCCAAGTTTTGAGAAGTATTTTGGGTTGCCTCCATGGAACTCTGAGATAAGAGAGATTGTTTTGCATGATTGTTCTTATGTGATATTGTATAAACTTTCATGTCTAGAAGGTTAACTGTACATTGATTAAAAAGTAATTTGTTTTAATTTGAAGAACAGAGTGTAACACTAAATGCTTATTGAAATGTATGTGGCAAATGAAATTTTGTTTCAGGTATTGTATAAAACATAAACTTTTTTTGCTGTTACTTTAAGAAAAGAAAACCCTCATCTATTTTTAGCAAAAAAATTATATGGAAGTTAGTCTGCCAGTTTTGCTGTGCTCTTTCTATTTTGCAAATGTTTCCAGAAAGGCAACAAAGATCAGAAAAACAAGCCATTCGGCATACTTTTATACTAGAGGGGTAGGTGCCTTCGAAATTATGAGACCACTGAATGAAGACCAAAGGAAGAAGTGAAGTCCAATAGGGGATGGAGAGGTGGAAGATGGGAGGTGTTATTTGGTAGGTATGATAATTTAGCTTCTAGGACACACACTTGGTAGCTAAGGTACTCAGAGTTGGTGCTGGCTTCTGAAAACATGGGGCATAAGATAATGCAGAACTTTGAAATCCTGGTGGGTCTTCTTCAGAGAAGGTTTTTTATGTCTTTGTTTATCTTAGATTAAGGTTGTAGATCCTAAGATGAAGAACTGTGCTACCCTGGCAGGCACAGGAGAAGCAAGCAATGTTATTGGTTCCAGCTTTACACAGTCAACATTTAATGAACCGGGAGGTTTGTGTGTTGAAGAAAATGGCCGCTTGATGTATGTTGCAGATACAAATAATCATCAGATTAAAGTGCTGGATTTGGACACAAAAATTCTTTCCATGGCAAGTAATACTTGTTAAACAGGCTGATAGTGGTGTTTCTTGATATGAATTACTATTACAGACTTTGGCAAGTGGTATAAAAATCATATAGCTAATAAACATTTTGGGTACGGTAGTTATAGTCACAGAATGTTTTGTGATGATCTGGCAAATAAACATTGCCTGTTAGCACAGTTGTTGAAAGCCTTAGTCTTTGGAAAGGCAACTTTTGCATGAAAACAGAAGGTGATGATCCCCTAGAAAAGAACAATACAGAAACATGAGTTATTAAAAAATATGGCATAGTTTTTCAGTATGAAAAGCATTTCATGAACACTTGCCAACTCCCTTTGTAACAAGTGGAAGTTGAAATAGTTCACCAAGATGATTTTGGGAGGTCACTTAATGAAGGTGGATATATAGTGGGCTTCCAAGTTGTCAAATCAAACGACTGTCATAATTGAGCACTGCTGTATTTGCTTATAACCATGAAGGCAAAACAAATTTGTGCTCCTGTCCATCTTAAAGTGTCACTATGTTTTAAAGTTTTCATATGTATATACATATATGACATAATAGTCCGACTGTCTTCTTGTATGTTTCTTGCATTTAATAGTACACGATCTTAATGCCTGTTTAAATTTTCATATCATATAACATGTTGGTGGCTTTTCTGGGAAATTATCCTTTACTTTACTGTGCAATCTGCAGGGTTAAAATCTTGGATTTTATTACCAAAGCATGTGGTTTACCACCAGATTAAAAGAAAATACCTATATGTTTTATTTAAAGTAAAAATAGAATGCAACTGTTAAAATTTTAAATTAAAGCACACTCTAAGTAGCAGATACTCTAAAGTCATTGTGGATTTTATGATTTTAATAGCAAATATTATTTTTATTTGGGTTAATCAGGTTTTTATCTTTTTCATTTTAAGAAATAATGTTGTCCTTCCCTTTTTATTTGTCACTGTAGTATCATTGCACTTTGTCAGAAAGTTTTAGTCCAATACCCACATTATCATGTGTTAGTTTTCCTAGTCCATGTCAGCTTTGAAACTGCGATTGTATTGTGAAAGCCTATTTGCTTTCAGTACAAATAAAAATAAATATTTTGTTTGATTTCTACTGGTAGTTGCCTATCCTGAATCCAGAAGCATGTGATGTTCCAGACAACCTGCCTGTGCAAAAGGATAAAACAACAAACCTTCCAAAACTGCCTAAATCTGCACCAAACGTTCAACTTCCTTCTCTAACTGTAGCTCCTGGCCAGACAATTCAGTTTGTATTAAAGTTGACTCTTCCTCCAGATTCAAAACTGAATGAAGAAGCACCCAATTCCTGGTTTATCACAGCAGAAGGTAAAATGTTTGTGTTGTTTTATCAGTTGAATGGGAGTAGGTAAGATACAAAGTGGGTTCTATCATGATGTGCCTGTAACACAGGGGGTGTCAGTCTGATGAATCAAAATGTCCCTCCCAGTCTGGTGTTCCCATTTGACCTTGTGATGCAATGCATGTTATTTAGAGTTTATACATTTAACATTTGGAGTGGGAAGATTAGAAAAACCCACCTGATAGGCTGCTTTTTGCTTGAATTAATACATGATGCTTTTTTTTTTTTTAAACTTTCTTGGAAGAAGCTGCCAGTGAGGGCTTGCAAAGGTACTGATCCCAGAACAGTTGAGCTTTTTGCTCCTTATATGCTTGCCCTCTCCACTGTCTCTATGAACAGCTTATCCCAGCTCTACTGTCTGTTGCTGGGAGAAAGCTCACTGTGAAGCCAAAGCATATTCCTGGATGACATTCCTTTTTTTTTGCTTTTGTCTCTTCCAGAAAGTATTTGAGGTGCATTTATACCTAACTACTTTGAACCTATTTTGTTATAATTGATATTTGCATGTTTCCACTTGAATATAATAAGGCACACTTTCTTATGTAAGAGGTAAATTATGGTATGTCAAGGAAGCAGAAATGATTGGCCTTTCTTGCAAGTACTTTTGCTGACTTCCTGTGTGACCTTGGGCAATTCTTTCAGTCACTGTGTACCTTGGTTACTGTGAAATGGGGATATCATTATTATATTGGAATAATGGAAACATTACTTCATGTTGTGGAGGTTTCCTGAGCCTAAATTAATCTCTCTCAACTCTTTTAAGTATTCTAAAAGAGGACATGGAATATGTTTACATGGTGTGTGACTGAAGAGGTTTAATTCTAGCCATTGTTGCCATCCTTACGCTGGGGATTACTATGCCCATAACAGACTGGTCTGTCTGAGTGTTCCCTAAAATTCTTTTCAGTACAAAAATAGCAAGGTTATCTGGAATGCCTTCTTGCACAGGATGGCCATTAGTGGGTGTTTGGAGACAGTGCTTTCCAGTGGTCTAGCTTTACCCAAAAGGCAGCATCTATTTGTGCCCTTGGAAGTACTATATGAAAGCCAATATACAAAATAACCCATATTTTTTTCACATTCTTTATGTATTGAAAGAGTTTTTCCTGGTTGTTGAGTTATTAAAGTGTGATTCATTTGCTTTAATACATTAAACTCTAGGAGAAAATTTTTTTATCTCACTGGAATGTCAATACTTCTAGAAAGTATCCTATAGCGGGTGCTATGTGCCTAAGTAAAACCGTAAAACTAGTGTTCTTGTCGGTGAAGGGAGGACACTTAGCACTCAGGCTCCGTGAGAAATTTCTGAACTTTATAAACACATTTCCTGTTAGAGCCTAGGCACCCTAAAGCAAGTGATGCATGGTACAGAGAGCTGTTACCTCTTGGAGGAAGTGAACAAGTTACCCACTAAGCCAGTATAGAGCAGAGGAAAGCTTAGCTGAACAGTTTTAAAAAAAGAAGAGCCTAGAATGTAATTTTCTTTAGTTTCTGTGTCAAGCTTTTGATGTTGAAATTGCATCATTTGCACCTTCAATAGATTTTTGAAAGCATAGAAAGAACATATTTCAGTTCTGTTCACTCAGTTGTTGCACTGCACTGGAAAACATTTATTTTTAGAAATGCTGCTGGATTTTAAAATTCTACTGATTTTTAGTAATTGTTCTCTAGCTGAATTTACATGCCATATTGGCTTTTACAATGATAAATACTTGTTAATAGTTATCTCTGCTTGTAGATAAAGTTAAACTGATGTGAAAGTAAACATCTCTTCATCTTTTGACTCGTCTTTTCTTGGCCAGCTTTCAAAGTGTCCATGTGGTAGCTTAATTAAATTGATTGCTTTTAAAAGCAGTCAACAAATACTGTACAGGCACTGCAATTTGTTTATATGCCTCATGATTTAAAGTAGTTTCTCCTCCCAGTTTGTGCTTTTGGAGTACAAATAGACTATTTCCAGGAGAGTCAGCACACTTTTTGGCCTACAGAATCTCCAAACATTGTTGAAGTAAAGATATATGTGATATCTTTAAGGGTTAGTAAAACTGGAGAATGTAAGCAACCTAAACTCAACAAGTCATTTCAAGCTCATAAATTCTAGAGCCAACTTTTAGGAATTTTCTGAAAAATGCCAAAAAGAGCACTTCATCCATCTCACTTACAGTAAAATGCAGAGTACAGTGCAGTGAGCTAGGTACATTTATTGTGCAGTTCATTTTTCAGTTCGCATACTCTTAAATATTTAAATAAATGTGAAACTCAAGTTCTGTCGTAACAGTCAGCCTGCGCATTGCTAAATTGCAGCAACCCACTTGTAAAACCAACGCTTCTGTTTGGAAGTGCCATAACTTACCTGCAGTTTTCTGCATTTACGGCAGATACCTTACTATTGGACCTCAGATACAAGGGTATAGCAGCCCATTAATTTAAGGAGTTTTGCTTGCATATCTCAGAATAAATTTTAATATCCTCTTAAGAGCATATAGGACAAATTGCAGATCCATTGCATTTAAATAAGATGTACTGTATATATACCTATAGTTCTGAAGCAAAGCTGTGGGTCTCTCCATCTTTAAATGACTGCTAAAGAAGCATTTGTAAATTACTTTTCCTTTTTCTTTGTCTATGACTGGAAAGATCAGGAAGGAAATTTCCCCTAACGTTGCATGTGGAAAGAAAGTCCATGTTGTCCTGTAGATAAAAGTAGCGTTTTCTGTAGGTTTCGGACATGGTGTTAAATATCCTAATGATAAAACTTGTTCTTCTTTTACAGATAATAGCTGGTTGGTTCAAGAACAGTGTCTGTCTGGAGAAATAAAGGATGTTTCCTGTCAAACTATCATTCCCTTTCAGTTACCCAGGAGCTGTCTGTCAGCTGAAGCTATCCTGGCTGTCAAAGCGTGCCTTTACTATTGCAGCAAAGGAAGCAATGCCTGTATGATGAAAGGAATCTCATTCAGTCAGCCTTTACAGATAGCTAGTACAAACCAAGGCGGCTTGGCTCAAGTTGAACTGATACACACGTTTTTAACCAACTAACCCAAAGCCAGCTAATTTCAACCTCTGTTTTACTATCCACCATTTCTGTAGGAGAAAAACTTCTGTCTGTTGTTCATTATCCTGGAAATCATGACAAAGCTAAGAAGTAATATACTTGGGAAGGTGAAGCAGATTTCCCTCCAGCTAAACGTGAAAATTTATCATCACAACCTCATTTCTTTTCATTACAGTAGCAGCAATAATATTGTAATACTCTCGACTCTGTTGCCAATTGTGAATATATTGGCTGTTTGCCAGTCTAAGCAATGAGCAACAATTTTTAGAGTTCTTTTGAAAGAGCTGGTGTTCCTTTGTGATGTTACTGTAAGAAGTTCTTTGCACTGAACACACTGTTAGAATAGCTAGATCATTTGCGGCTAACAGTTACAAATTCCTTTTGTGCTCTTACTAATTTCTAATAGAATGTCAAAACTAATTGTCTTTCTCTAGGCTGTAAAAGAAGTATCTTGCTTATCTTTCTGTAACAGCATTTATGGCACATGTATTTTGAAAATACATCTTAAACTAGGTGCAGCTCTAATTTTATGCAAATGGAGTGTTTTGTTTAACTAAATATGACCGCCTTATATGAAGAGCATAGTTTCATGGCAAAATTTCTGTGAAAGGAAGTGTTCAAGTTCCTACAGAAGAATTTCATGCTGATTTCTAACAAAGAATGTGCCTCTCTCTAATCTGTATATATATATGTAAAGAAAAAAAAAAAACAAACACAAAACCATGCTGGAGTTTTTGTGATATGTACCAATTTACATTTTATAGTCTGGTAGATAATGGGTGAATATCTAAACTGCAAAAATGAAACGTCAACCATTTCAAGAGTGAATTACTTTCCACTTCTATGATTTGTCTGTAGAAGTCTGAAGACTTCTGTCTTGCAATTACATAATATTAAGAAGAATATTACAGCCTTGAAGTCTGATTCAGAGTCTTTTGAAGTCACTGTTAGTCCCCCTGTTTGTAATACCGGCCAGTGAACCAGAACTGTATATTTAATAATGTATTATTTGCAGTCATGTTTAGAGGTTCTGAGCTTTTGCTAGAAAACTGCTGACCTAATCTTTGAGTAAGATGCTTTAAAACTGTATTACAAAATTCTGCATTTGGTGGTTAAGTGTTTTGCAAGTAAACTTCCTTCAATTTGCTGTAGTAAGTAGCAGGAATACAGGAGGGGGTGCACACTTCTTACTTGAACTGGAAGAGTGTCCACAGTGCTTAAATGGTAATTGGATTAGGGTGTGTGCTCTGGTCATAGGAATCCATTCTGAGAAGGTGACTTTGTTTTAAGTTTGCAGATAGTATTTTCACATATATTATAAAGTACAGTACTGAAAGAATTTTTATATAACCTTTTCTAAAACAGTCACCCTTGTTTCTGACACCTGTCAGTAAATCCCCATATGATTTGTTGTTGCTCTTTCTTACTCAAAGGCTGACTGAAATGTTGGTCATGAACCCAAGAGGCTTTTGTTTTAAGGGAACCAGATGGACTGGTGTGGTTTTTCCTTCCATTGAAATGCCAGCCTATCTGCGAGTTCTCTGTAGTACCAGAAACGGTCATTATCTCACCTGTCAGCAAGGCAACGGCTGAACTATTATTTTTCTTGTGTTTGTTTTTTAAGCAACTTTTCTAATTCAGTGTTTCAGCTCCTTTGGGTAAGCATCTCGGTTCTCACATGTCATTGTGAAGAAGGAGAAAGCTTTCCTACTTTTGTTCACAGATTGCAAATGCTAGTGGAAGGATGAAGGTAAAGAAACTGATGTGGGCATTTATAATTTTTCACACTTTAGTACAACTCACTCTTTCAGAATTTTTGTCTGTTTGTTTAACTTTGGATAGTAGCCAGGAAAGCTGAGATCAGCTTCCAGCTAGCCCACAAATTTTCTGTTGCTCACTGAAAAAAACAAGCATTAGTTTCAGAAGTTCAGAATAACGAACAAAACTGTTACAGTTATCTTGAACGTATAATTCAGCAGATGGATTTTTTTTTCTCTCATTTTCAACTAGAATGACATCATATTTGTCTATTTCAGTTGGATGAGATCATCAAATTCTGCCTGTATTCCAGTATTCAAAACAAAAAAAGTCAACAAATCTGTTTTCTTATTGACACTTTTAAATCAATGTATTGCTGTAGGGGAAAGACTGTGTATTCCTAACTTCATTTAACTGTAGTGTGTAATGTTTAAATATAACACTGTAGATACATTTTTCTATCTAAATGTACATATATAATTGTGTGTTTAAGTGACGTATCCTTTTTGTTTTCAAGTTTTGACTTTTAGTCACTGTACGTAGACACACTCAGAAGCACAATAAGCTTATTGGGGACGGGTGATAGTAGGTAGTAGGAAAACTGTTGCATGAGCATCAGACTGAAGACCAGGATCAAACTGTAAAGGACCTTTAAATATTTAGTTGTAGCCAAATTTTAAGCAATTGTATTTTAAGAAAACCAGTTTCAGCTTTACTAGTGGAGAGCAGGACTGTATCTGTTTGAACCAGTTTTTTCTTTATCTTTTCTTGTAAGTCCATGTCTTGTGGCAGATGACTGAACCGTACGTGAACTAGGGGAGTGGTGTACTATATCCCTGCTGCTACTACTTTCTACAAAGCCTTAGAGCATTCCTTGCTACTGCACTGCAATGGCTTTATGCTAAAGGAGAGGCAGAAGATGTGATACCATCTCAAAAAGACACAAAACCCACTGTTAACAAAGAAAATCTTTATATTCCAAAATGGTTTCTCTCTGAAACCAGTTAAGTCCTAGGCAACAACCCTTTAGTTTTCAAGGGAGAGCTGCTTTTCCTGACTCATCTTAGTGGGTTTCACACAGGGATGCTGCTGTAATCATTCTCCTTCATCATCTTAGGAGCAGCTGATTCTCAGCGTGCTCCAGTTCTCGCTGATGAGGTCACTGGGGTTCGTCTGCTCCTCGCTCCCTCGGTCTGTGTGTTCGCTGTGACTGGCCTTTAATCATACAGCCTAACGCTACCTTTTGTTTCTCCAATAGCAGACACGTTCCTGGAGTCACTCCTTCTGTTTCACTTGTGGTATACAGACATTTGAATGTTTTGTAGTTAGAAAAATATAGGGTTTAGAAGCTTATGATGTTTAGGGGTACTATTTCCATTGCTTCCTCCAGGGTTTACAAGATGCTCTTCCAGTAAAGCAACAAGTGCCATGAATGTAACCAGACAGGCAAACAGAAAGCTGCAGAAATTTATTTAAGTACCAGAAAGCATCTTCAAAATATGATTCAGAAAAATAGACAATGTTACTACTGTGTCTCAGTACAGAAAAATCAGATATACCGATGACTGCTATCTCTTTGTGTGGTAATTTAGTTTATTAGTGTTTGCTGATACAAAACTTGTGAGCAGGTTGATATGGCTCAGCACTCCCATGTATGTAATTCAAGGCCTTTTCAAAACATGTCTTTCTACTGACTTTAATAGGTTTTGCATCAGACCCTAATAAATTAATAAATTACTATAGCAAATCTCTAAAGAATATTGGTCATGGTTGTATTGTCTAATGGAAACAAGTTCAGTGGCATTTGCAGTTTAGTTCTCGTGTTTGCTTTCCTGTAACAGCTTTTGGTTTTGAATGAATATATTAATAGTTGTCTGAGATGTTTTTAGAAGTGTTATTTAAGTACAGTACAATATTCTTCATTAGACTAGGAAAAAGATAATGTGGTTTTGAAGAGGGAGCATAATGTATTTTAATAGCTTTTTCATGTTGTTTGCATTCAGTAGCAACTTTCTGTAGTTTGTTCCCTTCTGTTGAAGGAAGAGGAGGGATGCTGACTGTGTAAACCTATTGATGGGCACATATTTTATGCACACATTTTTAGTTGATTCCTTTTTGTGTTAGATTCTCACATGTCATTTTGGGCTTTTCTACAGGATGCACTTCTTCATAGTTTGTGTTTTGCCTCTCATGTCTTCCACGGGTAGAGCATTATGTTTGTATAATGCTGTGGTAATGTCATGATACAAAGCAAGTACAGACCAGATGAGTAAGTAGTTTTATAGCATCATGTTAATGCCTTATCTGCTTAGCCTCAGAAAAGGTGTGTATGGCTTCCAGTACATTGTATATATTCTTAATGCACTTTTTTACTTCCGGTGGGCAAATCTTGTAGCTCAAACCATGGGTAGAACTATTTTTGTGAGAATGTCAAGAAAAACATATTCCTTATCTCTTGCTCAGAGGAGGGGGATGATCAGAATGAAGTGACTTCCCTTCTCATGCAGGGGCATGTCCTTCTGGTTTTTTAATTATTGACTATTTCAGCAGAGAGAGTTGTATTATTGACCACAATTTCTCATGAATTTTTGATTCCTAACAAAGTTTTCTAGATACCTGGAAGCTTTAAATGTCTGACTTTGTAGAGTTATGAGTGATATATATAGTTGAAAATGTCTTATAGTTTAGCAGACAATAGCAGAGATTTATGTACATTCTTATGGTCTGTAATTTTTTAAAATCACTGTTATTAATCAAGACTTACCTCAGAGACACATTGCAGCTGAACTCCACAGAAGTGTGTTCATAAACTGTGTATTGCAACTCAAAAGTAAGTTTTCTTGCTTGTATAATGCGTGAGAGATGCTGTGGCAGGTTGTGTGTATGTGTCCTCCAGGCTGCAGTTGCGCTACCTGAGGAGAATTTATCATGCACAGCAGCTTATCTGCAGCAACCACCCACAGTAACTATCCACTCAAATCTGCCAGCTCATTTGTTCATATAATCAATTAAAATTACTGATTTATGTTAGTAAAGATTTAGTATTTAGAATTAGTCATTATAATTTTTGTTGAAATTGGTTCATCAGGGATTACAGGAGCTTCTCTGTCCCAAGGAAGGAAAGTATAAGAATGGTGACAATTAGTTGGAGACAGTTGTTGAAAATGTGAGACCTCGTTATTCTTTAATTAAACCACTGTATCTGTCTTTGTATACTACAACAGATCATGAATTTAGAACCGGTTTTATATGCCATTATGTTCATATAACCAAATTTGACTACTGTCTTCCGTCAGAAGCAGCTGATCTTACTTTTTAGAGCTTTTGTGCTATCATATGTGAAATCACTTACTCTCGTTAAGGATTAGGATCCTTTCTTGTTAAGGATTCAGCATACCTATGATTGAGTTTCCAAGTTTATCTTAGTTTCTCTGCAATACTATTATGGGGGATTTCGGTTAAGTTTTTGGATCTATCATTTCCCCCTGTAGTTTCCCAAGAATGGAATGCAGCCAATATCTTGTTACCATGGAGGGATCCAAGTAGGATAATTCCCTCCACCAGTTCCTTGCCCCTCCCCTGCTTTAGGCGTGGGGATGTAAACAGTAGGGCTGCCCCATATAGAGAGAGTGTTACCTGGCAGCGCACTCCCAAAGGGTGCCAGTGAGGTGAGAATTTCATGATGAGTTACACCATGGCACTAATCCTCACAGTGGATAGATCTGCTGTATGCTGGCTTTCTGGGGCTTCCTGCTTCCTAGGGCTACTTTTCTTGACGGCCTATAAAGTCTTGCTCCATAAAGATGGCAAGAATTTTGCCCTTATTATTCCTGCAAGTCTTAATTTAATTGATTCATTAGTACTCTTTTATCTTAAGATAACCTGGCAATAATTACCAGAATCTAGGACCTATCTGGGCCCTCCCCCATGCTTCTAGGTAGCATTACAATAAGATTGTGTCCTCAGGTCTTCATCAAGCTTTACAC